TTTTATTTAAAACATTTTTTGATAGAAACAATAATTATTGAGATAATTAATTTTGATTGCATACTATTCAGAGGGAAATTAAAATTTCAAGTTAGCAAAAAATTGTATTAACAAACACTGTTCCTGGAGTAATTTTAAACAAATATTGTTAATAAAAATTTTTGATTTGATAAATAATTAAGAACATAGCCTCAAAAAAATTTGTATAGGTATATTTTTTATTGAGAAAATTGTTTTAGAATTTAATTTAGAACAACTTTTGTACGAAATTTTCTGCTGAGAACGAGTGGAGGGGGGAAATCGTATCGTTTTTAATGATTATACTTCATCTGGATCCAATTCAGTATCAGATAACGTTTTTTCAACATGTTCTATTCCACCACCAAACACTTCTAAACCTCGAACGTTTTCTTCTTCATTAATTTCTGCATATTCAGGTTCATCTTGATTTTCCTCTTTTACTAATTTTGATAACACAACTTTTAATTTAGCAGCAAGTTTAAACATTTCTTCATTTTTAAAATTACTTGCTTCAAATTTTTCTAACAAATTCTTAGCTTCCGTATAATTTCCATTATGGTACAATAAAACGCTTGTATTTAATTGAATCAACGGTTGATCTGGTGCTAAAGAAAAAGCCCGCTTTAAAGCTCTTAAAGCGCTTTCATTATCTTCCAAAGAAAATAACGCACCTAAAATAAATTATATTTAAAAAAAATTTCCGTTTTTTTTAAATAAATCACTTACATGCTAATATAACATAAGTTAACGCCAAATCAGGTTTTAAATTAGTAGCTGCACATAAATAATTAAAAGAAGATGCAGGTTGTTGAATTGATAAATGAATAAGCCCCAGATTCAACAAAACACGTGAATTTAAAGGAGACAACCATAAAGCTTTTTTTAAACAACCAATCGCCTAAAAAAAAAGAAATAAAATATTTTTATATAAAAACAAGCAAAAAAAAAATTGAACCATTTCAACTTAATTTTACACGCGGCAAAATTGAACCGTAAAATTTTTATTGGCTTCCATTTCGGTTAAACGTACAAATCGATATGAAAACATAACAAGCATTGTTATAACGTTATTCAATTCAACTATTCATAAAAATGTTTTTATAATATGCAACAGAGATTTTAATTCCGAACGTAAAAGAGAAAATATTTATCCTTTCAATCTTTCCATTTGGCGAATTTTTAATATGTCAATATTTCTGAATGCATCAAATTCAATTACTTACCGCAATATATTTCTGTTTTGAATAAAAACACATTCCTATATTATTCCATAATGCTATCGAATCGGATTGGGTCTGTATAGCCAATTTGTATTTTGTTAAAGCGACATCGTATTCTTCATGTAACTAGAAAAAACATAAATGGACATTTTAGATTTTCATAATATTTTTCGTAATTTTATCTGTGATAAATATACTTGATGTTATAAGGTGATTTGCAAAGACATAAATAAGTATATGAAAATAATTAAACGTGTATTTATGCTTTTATTAATATATTAAGTTTTACACTCTACCTGACGCGTTTCGGCGATCTACGCCATCTTCGGAGGCTTTCGTCCTTGGTTATGCTATGTAGTACATAAAATATCGGTTTTTCTTTTATGTGGTAAAGCTAAGATGCTTCTTGCAGGGATTATTTTCAAACATTAACATTTAACGGGCTGGATTACTACTTGTTTTTCTCGGGAGCGAACAAATTGCAGAAAATCGCGTGCTAAATGGCACCTAGCAGTGCAGCCAGAGTGTAAAACTTAATATATCAATAAAAGCATAAATATACGTTTAATTATTTTCATATACATATATTGATAACAAGGATCCACATCATGAATAAATAAGTATGTTAAAGTGCCGATTAACCGCGGGCCATTAATACCACCTTATAAGTGTATACGCGCCAAACACGAACAAAATAAAGGAAGAGAAAACTTAAACGTAAAAATTGACAACAAAGTTACTCCTGGCATCAACAACATATTCAATGAAAAGCTTTGCGACCAAAATGAATTTAGAATCAACAGTGCTTAACCCTCTGTAGCGTGGTGTAATATTTCTGTCACAAACTATTCTTTGCCTACCAAAATTTACACATTTTTTCAAACCAATTTTGAGTCAGTGTGACTTATCTGCAACAAACCGATGTATCGACTTACTTTAAGACAAAAAATGTAGATGGCGTTAGGGCCGCGCGATGGCTATTGTTCGTCGACAGATCGGGTGGGATCTGCCTATGTGCTTTTGAAAAATCAGTAAAAAATATAAGAAAACGTGATTAATACTGTGTGTTTTTCGAAAATATACAAGGTTGGTAAGTTACATGTACTTTATGGTGTAATGTGGGTTTTTATATAATTGTATGCCTTCGATGGTCTTGAAGTGTCCCATTGCCTAACGTGGGTAAATTTTACTTTGTGAAGAGGTTGATAATATAATATGGTTCATTTGCTTTAAAATAGCCGAGATGTTGAATACTTTCGAAGACAGTGAAGATGACATGGAAGATGACGATGACTGTGTTGCAGATCTAGATTATCAAGCTGAAAATGAAATGGAGCAAGAGCAGTTTTCTAGTGATGAAAATGAAGACGATGAAGTGAACCTTGATGAGATTATTCATAGCTTAGAAGGCAGCGAACCTAATCCGTCTCCATCTACTGTTGCTGTGCCAACTGAATTGCAACCAACCCAATCCGTGGGATGCCATAGAAAGCCACAAAAACTTAACCTGCGATGGAAGAAGAAAAGTCTGCTTTTGAATGAGCAACAGTTGTGTTTTCTAGGGAATGAAAATTTTCCAGCAGATATTTTAGAGCTTGACACAAAGATCTTCTTGTTTTTATTTTCCAAAGATTTGATTGATTTTATTGCAACACAGACTAATTTATATATTTGAACTAAAATTAGAACTAACACTAGAAGTTTTCGGGTTTTGCCGTGCGTCTTTTAAAAAAAGTGGCCATTTCGAACCAGTTTCTGAGGAAGGTTGCAACATGGCATCCGAAACGTCAAACCTTTTCTTAAAAGACGCACGGCAAAACCCGAAAGCTTCTAGTGTTAGTTCTAATTTTAGTTCAATTAACACCACAGATATTCAGCAGTTTATTGGCATAGTGTATATCATGTCCTTGATTCATCTTCCTCGAGTTACTAGTCGTTGGAATGGCACCATTGGAACTCCTATAATTCAAGAAATAAAGATGTTTGAAAAAATTCGCCAATTCATTCATTTTAATGACAATTCACAAAACTTGCCCCACGAACATCCGAAATTTGACAGACTATTCAGACTCAAACCAATTGTTCAAAAATTGAACAAAAACTTTGCCAAAATTCCTTTAGAGCAATATCTTTGCGTCGATGAACAAATATACTCTACGAAATCAAGGAATAACTGGAAAAGATATAACCCGAAAAAGCCTTACAAATGGGGCTATAAGATTTACGTTCTTAGTGGTGGAGTCTCTGGATTTGCATACAAAATCGAACCTGAAACTGGCTCAGAAAATGTGCTACTACCCAACGAACCTGATCTAAGCGCATCCTCAAATGTTGTTATGCGTCTGTCACGTGAAATGATTGTATTTCGACAATTACTTTACATCTTTGTTATTGCTAGAATACTTGTCAAAAAATAGTATACTGAGTCTTGGTAGTGTACGTCGAAACAGGATTTCAGATTACAAATTACTCACACACAAAGACATATCCAAGAAAGACAGAGGGTATTCTGTTGAGTATGTTGCTGATGTCAATGGTGTAGATGTAGCAACCGTATCCTGGGAAGATAACAAGGTAGTTAATTTGGCATCAACTGTTGTGGGAGAAATGCCAAAAGCTCAGGTGAGGAGGTATAATAAGAAGACCAAGCAATCGCCACATGGGTGGTGTAGATCTAATCGATAGCATCATGGGACGCTAAAAAATACAGCTTCGCAGCAAAAGATGGTAGGTTCGAATGTTTTACCATTTATTGGGCGAAAGTATGGCTTCTTTACAAAAGAATTCATAAGGCAAAGGGCTTGCAGGATAAACCTTTGAACTCGGCTGATTTTCGGCTTGAAGTTACAACAACTTTGTGTGCCATCAAATTTGAAAAGCCGTCTATCTATCGAAAACGAAATTCAAGCAAAAAGACACAAAGGTCCAGCACAACATGTTTCTCCAGTGGCAATCAGGCAAGATTCGACAGGACACTGGCCTGTATGAACAGAAAAAAGAATACGCTACAAATTTTCTAAATGCTCTGGTGTCTCAGAAACAATGTGCGAGAAATATGTGCTACAATAAACACAACAATTGTTTCAGACTATTTCACCTAAGTTAAGTTACCGTTTTGATGCGGTGTAACATTTCTGTCACACTCCCTTTATTTAAGATTAACATTTTTCACCACTTATTTTTAAATTTTGATATCTTGCGCTACAGAGGATTAATTCCGAAGTATACATCTATAATATAAAGTCAATTCTCCTTTCCACCAACCAATGTCACCGCTGGCATATCGACATTAACACTTTCAATTAAAGCACCGTCAACAGATTTTAGAAAACTAAAAATGTACAGGTAATTACTAATCAATTAGCATAGCGTTTCAATGCATATCGCAATATTATGTAATTAGTTTGTCAAAACGACAAAATGCAGTCATTATACCATTAAATAGGAAATGCAAGTGAAGATTGCAAAATGCATATGTAACTCACAACAAAGCATAAAATGGTGTGACTGATTGACGGGGAGAGTAATACAGGGTGTCACACAAAAAACGCCCCAAGCTGTAACTCTGTCATTTATATTCCGATTTTCAAGAAAGGGCAAATGAAATGGTTTGATGAATACTATGATTCATGCTACAAATAAATTTTTTTCAAGGCCATCTTCAATTTTAAGCGTTTATTAACTTTTGTTTTTCAAATTGCTCCATATATTTTTCTTCACATCATTAGATAGAGATTGTTTTTCTGAATCCATTGATGTACAATACATCCATTTTGAATGTAATTTTAGCACAAAAAAGTTATAAACGCCGCAAGTTATAACGCTGTCATTTACCTTCCGATTTTTATGAACGAGGCATCAAATGAAATGATTTAATGAATGCTATGATTCATGCTACAAATAAACTTTTTCCAACGCCATCTTCAAATTCAAACGATTATATTGTATGTTTTTCTTCACGTTATGGGATAGAGATTTTTTTTCTGAACCCATTGATGTAGAATACATTAACATTAATTGTAATTTTAGCAGAGAAAAACAATTAAAACATTTTCCGAACATTGTCTTAGTCACTTCTGTAATACTGCAGTGTGCCATGGAAAAAAATAACACGCAAAACTGATAACAGTCATTAAATGCTATTTAAATGCCCGAAGCAGTTGTAAATGATACTTATAAGTTTGTTTTTTTATTTATCCCATGGCACACTACAGTATAACACAAGTGACTTTAAGGAAAACTATTTTAATGTTTTTCTATGCTACAATTACAATTATTGTTGATGTATTGTACAGGTGTCCGAATTTCGATGTCCGCATAGGCTATCTCCGAAACTAAAAGATATAGAAAAAAAGTAGCTTACATGTCATGATCTCGTTTTTCGAGAAAATGCTAATGCCGAAAACTCCGAACAGCTATCGTCTTTTGTTTTCGCCCTATCGGCAAAAACTGAAAATTTTGCGAAAACGACAATCGCGAATATCTCACTTATTATCAAAGATGGAGTATTATAAATAAAACATTATATGGGCAACTTTTTACGAAGAATTCAGTGGCGTAGGTAGAATTTTTTTCCCATCTTTTATTTTCGAGATTTTAGACGTAACTTTATTTTTTTAAATGGAAACCATAGTTGGCTATGACTTAAAATAATTTGTTATTTTCTTCTGATAACAAATATATATAGTTTGTGGGGTATATTTCTTATAGTTATTGAATAATTAACAAAAATTCATTTTGTTCTATCTAAAACTAATGTATGTATTTAAAAGTTAATGTTGCTATGGTGATAACCATACATACTATGATGGAACATAATGTATCAAATAATTGCCAAAGTTTGTATTTAAAAATTCGATAACAACTCTGGCATTATGTGCTGGTACGATGCACCAGCATGTTAAGTGTCAAAGTATAACAAAACTGAATAAAACTTTACAATGAATTTCGAAAATTATGAAAAATGTAACATGATGGAATGCTATATGTTATCAGATAAGAATGCGACGTTAGCCGCGGAATTTTATTTCACAAGATATCCAGAAAGAAGACAACCGCACGTAAGAACCTTCAGCCGGTTAGCAGAAAATTTAATAGATATTTGGTCCTTCCCCAAACCACATACAAAAACATACCAAAATGACCTGCAAGAGAAATTGCAACAAGACGTCTGACCCAAAAGCCGCTGCTCCCGAATATGAAAGAAAAATAAGTATAAACCATACAAAGCGGGGCTAACTCATTATTTACGTGCCGGAGATGTCAATCGAAGATTAGAATTTTGTAGATGATATTTAAAAAAATTAAATAATCTGCTGTTTGTTCAAAATGTTATCTGGACCGATGAAGTCTCTGAGTGTTCAAAGAAGATTGGGGTTCAATGTATGGTGTGCCCTTTTAGATAATAGAATTTTGGCATATAGTATCTACCATAAAAACTTAAACTCAGGGAAATACCTCAATATATTAAGGCAGCACATTGAGCCTTTGGTCGACAATTTGCCACTAAATATGTCTCAAATGATATATTTTCAATATGACGGAGCACCAGCACATAATGCCAGAGTTGTTAGTGAATTTTTAAATACTACTACAAACTCAAGGACAGTAGAATCTAACAGGACTGCTACATCCATTGTTGTGACAGCCTACCCGCAAACTACGTCACACCATTTTCCACGCCCAGCTGTTGTTATGGTCTATGCGTTTGCTGTGTGTTTTTAGAGGTTATATCCTAGACGTATTCATATTAGTTTTGAAGTTTTATGTTTTTAGACGTATTAATGTCTATCATATAACCTCTAAAAACATAGACAGTTATCAGGCGTGGCAAATAGTGTGACGTAGAGTGCGGGCAACCAACCCGTAGTCGACTACAAAAATACAATGGATGTAGCAGTCCTGTTAGATTCTACTGTCCTTGCTACAAACTTTGGCAATAATTGGAAACAATGCTTTCCCTCATGGTATGGTTATCACCATAACAACATTAAGTTTTAAATACATACAATAGTTTTAGAAAGAACAAAAAAAATTGATACATTATATTCCATCATAGTATGTATGGTTATCACCATAGCAACATTAACTTTTAAATACATACATTAGTTTTAGATAGAACAAAATGAATTTTTGTTAATTATTCAATAACTATAAGAAATATACCCCACAAACTATATATATTTGTTATCAGAAGAAAATAACAAATTATTTTAAGTCATAGCCAACTATGGTTTCCATTTAAAAAAATAAAGTTACGTCTAAAATCTCGAAAATAAAAGATGGGAAAAAAATTCTACCTACGCCACTGAATTCTTCGTAAAAAGTTGCCCATATAATGTTTTATTTATAATACTCCATCTTTGATAATAAGTGAGATATTCGCGATTGTCGTTTTTGCAAAATTTTCAGTTTTTGCCGATAGGGCGAAAACAAAAGACGATAGCTGTTCGGAGTTTTCGGCATTAGCATTTTCTCGAAAAACGAGATCATGACATGTAAGCTACTTTTTTTCTATCTCTTTTAGTTTCGGAGATGGTCTATGCGGACATCGAAATTGAGACACCCTGTACATTAATGGGTTCAGAAAAAGAATATATAGATTCTTTTGACGTGAAGAAAAATATACCGAGCAATTTGAAAATCAAAAGTTGATAATCGCTAGAAATTGAAGATGGCGTTGAAAAAAGTTTATTTGTAGCATGAATGATAATATTCATGAAACCTTTTCATTTGATACTTCGCTCATGAAAATCGGAAGGTAAATGACAGAGTTACAGCTTGCGACACTCTTATGTGACAACCTGAATATACACACCCTGTATATTCAGGTCATCAATGGATTCAGGAAAAAAATCTCTATCCAATGACGTGAAGAAAAATATACGCAGCAATTTGAAAAACGAAAGTTAATAATCGCTTGAAATTGAAGATGGCGTAGGAAAAAAATTATTTGTAGCATGAATTATAGTATTTGTGTCATGAAAATCGGAATGTAAATAACAGAGTTACAGCTTGGGGCGTTTTTTTGTGACACCCTGTATATGCGACATGATGTTTAAATATACAAAAAAATGTGGGGTATAAAGTTGCGTTATTGCGTCTTTTTTAAATTTTCCTACACTACGGAGAGATAACGCAATAGATACAAAAAAAAGGAAGTCAATCCACTAAGTGTTCACTTTAATGTAGGTATTGAGGAGTATTAGAAAGCCATAATTATTCGGCCATTTGGCTTTTATTTTCCATATACATACTTTAGAAAAGTGAGAAAATTGCATAACACAAATATTTTAGGAGAATATAACTTATTTATATTTCTAAGATTCTGAGTTGTCACCGTGTGTTTCAATTAACATTTAGAATTAGGTCAGTTTAACTAACATATCCGTATAATTAAAATTGAAGGACGAAATACCTGCTCAAGCGGTAGCGGTACGTTATCATATAAAATCGATTTCATCTAGAAACGGCTTCATCATCGTCAAACCACCGTCGCCCCACACCATAAACAAACTACATTTAACTACTTCACCAAACAATGTAGTAATCAGCAAACAGTTATTTAGTGGAACATCCTAAATGTACAACCACAAACAAGGAATCTTCAAATTACCTTTTTAATGCAGCTTTCCCTCAATAAATAATGAATGTTAATTAAGAGTTGAGTTGTGCATTACGAGTTGGGAAAATTATAATAAAAATTTTAGTTTTAATTAAGATGTAATTCTATTTCAGTAACTGCAATTCAGTTTCCACGCCCATTCACATTCACCTTATCACTATTTTTCGTATTACCCAATTATGGGGCACTTATATTTTAAATTTAGAATGGTTCTAAAAGTTTGTAGTAATAAAGTTGGCGACAAGTAAAAAACTACTCGATGATTTACAAACAAATTTCCATTATATAAAATAAACTTTTTTAATTAAAAGTTGCCGACTAATTTGCTACACGACGAGGATTCGTTTCATTTGGGATTAAAAATTTCATAAACTGCCCGTCATTTTTTAATACAATTTAACTTTTTCCCACTTACGTCGTTGAATCTTTATCTTTTTCGTTATTAGAAGAAAATAAGAAAATTTAATTTTCCCAAAAGATCAAAACTTGTTACTATCATTATACTCTCAAAAAGAAGAAGTTTATAAAGCCACAAAATACTATCTTTTATATTACTTTCCTTACACATTTCCCAGATTCAATTACAGAAAGCGCGTCGAAAATAGAAACGAGAGAAAGGCCGCGCCGCACCGTTGGCGTCGACGACGGATAAAAGTTGTAACAGGTGTTGCTTAAGGCCGACATAATTGGATCGAATCCCGGAGGCTTGACCATAAAGCCGTACGGCAAATAATAACCTGCGTGATGCATCCGATTCCCAACAGGGCTCGTGAGCACGTCGGTTCTAAGGCCAGGGCAGAGCTAAGCCTTTCGAACGCTAGCTGCGTTTGTCCAGACTTCAAATATAGCAGACCAGATTGAGTAAGCATCTCTATACTGTCCGGGCAGTTTCTGAAAATCAAACAAAACGAACATTCCTTATATCCTTTTACGATTGGCAATCCTCCCAACCACACCCTTCCCAGGAGGTACTTACTCCAAAGCCGCATTGCAAACTGTAATTGCAGATTTTATTTCTCCTTCTTGTAGCAAGATTTTTATTAAAAGCGCATAAGAATCTTCTTGTTTATCATACTGAAGGGATTTCTGTACGTACTCCCTTGCTTTTTCTGGTTTTCCCATCAAAATAAGGCATTGAGCTATAAATTACAAAGAAATAAAAATGATTAAGGGTAAAAAGAATAGATCGATAAATTTATGAGTAGCGGAAGTTTATTAGTTAATATTGACAGGAGCTCGAAACGAACACCGAACTAGTTTCTCTAAAATGGATATTAACGATCTCGTTATCTAAACCGCGTAGGATAAGCCGACGGGTACTGCTTAACATACAGCTTATTGAATTCTACTAAAAGATAATGGATTCTGCCCGGAGCTCCACATTTAGTTTGCACTAAATCATCCAACGACCGGGCCTCACAATCTTCAAATCTTTAATGAGCCACGTAGACGTCGAGGCGTGAAATTTCGGCGGAACTAATAATACGTGACCCGGTAAGCCGGGGTTAAATTACGTTCAGTTATGTAACGGCCGCCGACGCAAAATTAAAAAACAACAAAATCGCGCGCCCTTCCTACCTGTGTACGATATTGTGAAGTCGGCAGACTCACCGATATTGTAAAATATTTCCCAGTCGGGTTTCGTAGACGCTCTCTCCGCTTCCAAATACGCCTCCAAGGCCAGTCTGTATCGTTGAAGCAAATACCTAAAAAAAGTATTAAAAGCTTAAAAGATCGTTCGGAAACGATTTTAAATACATCATTAAAACTTTTTCACGATTTGAATAGCGCCGGAGAGAAATTTTGAATCAAGTTTCTTTTTTACTTTATTTTATTAAATAATTTAGATACATAGAAACATGAAGGACAACACTAATAAGAAAGATAATAGAAATCCTTTCTGTAAGGATTATTTTGTGACACAACCATTGTCTTATTCTGGTATTGGACAATACGGGATTTAATAGACCGAGATTATGCAAACAAAAGAACTTGATGTCCTTTGAAAATGACAAAGACATTATTTTCTATAAAATACGACAAATGTATTTTTCTAATTTAATCGTTTTAATATAAATAATACATTAAAAGATTTTATTACTGAATTCTTGACGTAGAGGAAAAAGGGTTTAATAATTAGGTGTAATGAGAGCAAAGTCCTTAGTCTCTTTCAGGTTCTGACGCTCATGAATCAAAATGACTTTTCTAGTGATAGTGTTAGTGCAGAACTAGAACTAACACTAGACCTAGATCTAGAAATATTCGGATTTAGCCGCACGTCTCTCAAGACGGCTAAACCCGAATAATTCTAGTTCTAAGTCTTGTGTTAGTTCTAGTGATAGTGTTAGTTCTAGTTTTGCACTAGCACTATCACTAAAACTAACAAGACCTACAACTAGAATCATTCGGGTTTAGCCGTCTTGAGAGACGTACGGCTAAATCCGAATGTTTACATAATATTTTACATTATCACTAGAACTAACACAAGACCTAGAACTAGAATCATTCAGGTTTAGCCGTCTTGAGAGACGTGCGGCTAAATCCGAATGTTTCTAGTTCTAGGTCTAGTGCTAATTCTGGTTTTAATTGTTATTCAGCGTTACATGGTGGTATATTTTTATTGAATGAAAACTAGAATTAATACTAGACCTAGATCCAGAAACATTCGGGTTTAGCCATGGGTCTCTAAAGACGGCTAAACCCGAATGCTTCTAGTTCTAGGTCTTGTGTTAGTTCTAGTAATAGTGCTAGTGCAAAACTAGAACTAACACTATACCTAGAACTAAAATCATTCGGGTTTAGCCGTCTTTAGAGACGTGCGGCTAAACCCAAATGATTCTAGTTCTAGGTATCGTGTTAGTTCTACATAGTAATAGTGCTAGTGTAAAATTAGAACTAACACTATACCTAGAACTAGAATCATTTGGGTTTAGCATTTAGTGTTAGTTCTACATAGTAATAGTGCTAGTGTAAAACTGGAACTTACACTATACCTAGAATTAGAATCATTGGAGTTTAGCCGTCTTTAGAGACGTGCGGCTAAACCCAAATGATTCTAGTTCTAGGCATAGTGGTAGTTTAACATAGTAACAGTAGTGACAGTTTCAATTGTTATGCAGTGCTAGATTGTTGCATGTTCTTATTGAACTAAAATTAGAACTAGACCTAGAACTAGAATCATTCGGGTCTAGCCGTCTTGAAAGACGTGCGGCTAAATCCGAATGTTTCTAGATCTAGATCTAGCGTTAGTTCTAGTTTCTTGTTTTAGGTCTAGTGTTAATCTAGTTCTACTTGTTATGTATCATTAAATTGTCTATTTCTAGGTCATAAACACTAAGAAGACTTACAAACATTTTGCAATTTCCTTCACATGTCCCGTATCATCTTGATTTAATTTATGACAAATCTGAAATGCTTCTAAGGCTTCCTGCAATTTACCTTCTTCACGCAATATCGTTCCCTAAAATAATCCATAAATAACAAATTATTAATTTCAACATAGAATCAATAAGTCCTCATATACCGTGACACAGTATTATTACTTATTAATTGGACCGCGTTATGCATCACTTGACTAGGCGACACATGAATAATGTTGAGAAAAACGGGATGTTCGTTTTCATCTCTCTAAAAATATAAGACTTCTCAGAATAGACAGGCTAAAACTATTGAAAATTGTTTTACGAAAAAAATAATCCAAGTTTGTGAAATGACCCAAAAAACACGTTAAAAATAAAAAGAAAGTGCGACAAAGTGACTAACACTAGATTAACTTCAGTTATAAAACTTATATTACATGATAACTAACTTCAGGTTTAAAATGTCAACCTCAATTTTGACATATTTGCAATCTACACTAAAAATCCTTTAAAATGAGTACAAACACGACATATTTATCTTCAATATTAATGAAGTTATGGTCAACTTCCGGTTAAAAATGTCAACGTCAATTTTGACATATTTGTAATCGTCATGAAAAGTTCTTTAAAATGAGTCCAAACATGATACGTTTAATTCCAATATTACTCGAGATATAAGCAACTTCCGGTTTGAATTGTCAATGTCATTTTGACATATTCTTAATTTTTATAAAATGTCTTAATATTTGTCACAAAATCAAAAATATAATTAAAAAAAATCAAAAATTAAGGTTGGTATTAATATTTATAAATTAAATTGTTATCTTCATTGTTGCTAACTTCGGGTTTAACGTTTTTTATTCTAACTTTTTTGTTTTTAGAGATAAGTGCGTCATCTTTGGACTCATTTTAAAGGTTTTTTAATGAAGATGACAAATACATGAAAATTGACGCTGACGTTTCAAACCGGAAGTGATTGTATTTCCGTTAATATTAAAGGTAAATATGTCGAGTTTGGACTTATTTTAAAGGATTTGTTATAAAGTTGACAAATATGTCAAAATTAAAAGTTCAAAGTTCGAACTTTGGTTTTTTGAGATAAATGCGTCAAGTTTTGACTCACTTTAAAGACATTTTTATAATTGTTTGCCAAATCTATCAGCAAGTTCTTTTCGGCTGTACTAAAATTTGATGACCTTTTTACTTTCTCTTATCCATTGCCACAATTTTATTATTCTTTTATTAGTCTTCAGACGCAAGGCTAAACCCGAAACTTTCTAGTTCTAGGTCTAGTGTTAGTTCTGGATTTTTATGCTAACTAGCGCTACCTATCGCTTTCGTTTGTAAAATGGATAAGATGAGAGATGTTAATTTATTTGTAGAGTCTCTGAAGATGGCCAAGGGCCGAAACTAGTTAGACTTAAATTCTAGGTATATAAAATAAAAGACATAAACTTTTAATTTTATACTAATATCTAGAAAACGACATTGGCCCGAAATTGTAGGTCCATCTATTTTTTTTATTGTAGAATTTCTTGGTCTATCTAAGTAAGTCGGTTTTTAGACGTTGTATGATGCAAATCCGACTTGAAATCGTATAACATGATTGGCGCTTAGTTTTATCTTTTAAAACAAATAGTGTTTTAGGTTTTTCGGTATTCTGCATTTTTTCTAAGATAAGTTACACCTTTACCTACCAGACAGCATGAAAAATCTCTAAAACCGATAAAATGTCGCTTAGTCAAGTGACGTGTAACGCGGTCCAATTACCATATCATCAAAAATATAATTTTAAAGTAGGCTACTTTTAATCCAATAATCTTCAATTTTTTTTAATTAAACTGTAAATTTCATAGCCTACCCTAAAAATATACCTATTGATCATATAATTGTATGATTATTTTTTTTAATTACTTCTTTGTGGTAAGCATAATCATTCTTCCCATGGCTTTTTGTGATATTTTCCTTAATCAATCGTTTACAACTAGCAATTTCACCTCTAACATGTTGGACGTGTATCAACCAATTCAATTGTTCAATCGGAGACGGTTCTGGATAAGACATACTTGCAACGTTATCTAAAAGAAAAAATTGGGGTATAATTGACTGTGTAATATACGCAACTGCTGTAAAATACGTTCTGCGTAATGGTCCGCTTTTCCATTAGCTATTAAATTCATTATATATTCAAAAATAATTAATAATTCGAATGCGACCCGAACCAGAAGTGTGATTTTCCGCGGGTTGTTTTAGTTCTCGTCGCTTGGCAACGGATGGCGCGACGTGCGCGCGCATTTACAACAATGGCGAACTGTCAAACGTTTTATTTACAATAGACAAGAAAACGTATGATGTAGAATTACGTGTTAGTTTTCGCTCCTCAGCGCAGTTAATTTCCCCTAAATGTTCTTTTTGATGAAATCGTAAGTAACCACTTTTCGTATTAACATTATTTACCTCCTCTTATTTTTTTTTAGAATATGTTAATTGTTATCTGACACACCAGGTCCATCATTTATGATAATGTTACTATAGTAATTGAATAAAAGATACCATGGAGGCGGAACCAGTGCTTACTAGATTACAGAGGCTGGTGTTAGGTTCCTTCATTTTAATCCTTGTTGATATCATATGGGTATCTTCTTCCGAACTTACAAAGGTATTCAATGAAATATTTGCTGTTGTTTGTGCATAGTTTAATTATTTTTCTAGTATATTTATCATAATGAAACATTTGAGAAGCCGTTTTTTTGCACATACATCAAAACCTCTATGTTTACATTGTACTTAATAGGACTTTGTTTTTGGAAACCTTGGCAAGAGCATTGTTATCGACCAAGTCATTACATGGTATTATCATTAAATAAACATTTAAGTATATTATTATTTAGTAATTATAACTGTTATTTTTAGTTCTTAGATGTAGAAGAAGATGATAATTTTTATTCAGAAGCTAATACGTCCCTTGTAAGTCTTTAAAAAGATATTGCAGTAAAACTTTGATATAACGGACGAAATATTTTTAAGTCATATTATTAATATTATCTATTCAATACATTAGTATATTTAACCCTTTTAATGGGGGCCGAAAAAGATGCTAGAATTTCATGATTTTGCTAGGGTTTGGGAAAAGACTCATAAAAACCAAACAAAAAAACAATATTTACATAATTCAAAAAGCAGTGTATTAAGGACGAAATAGAGAACAAAGCAATGACACTAATTTTTCTATATTCATTGAAAATATAATTTTCCATCGAAAATAGCAAAGATATAAAAGATAATAAAGAGAGTAAAAGTTGAGTTCTCTTTTACAAAACATATTTACACATACAAAAAGTCATCTTTTCATTATAACTTTATATAGACCATTTATTACAAAGTATATGCTTTGCATTTCCAATATGCAGGTGTAGCTAAATTGATGCAAAAGATTTTAAGGGGTATATAACTTTTTGGTCAAAACCACTTCTCCTCCAAGTTACAGCCCTCTAAAATTAGGGGAAAAAAATTGTTTCTATTTAATAAATCCATTATGCAGGAATTTGGAAGGGTGAAATTTGCAATTACTAATAAGGTGACATTTTTTAACGATTTTTAAAACCCTATAATTTAATTACAAGAGGGTGAAAAAATTCACCCCTTTAATACTTTGCACCAGAACTTTTTAATGCGTCCAGATTTTTTTATTTAGAAACTTGATTTAAATAGAGGGATTCAATATGCAAATTTTTGTCTCTTAACATTTTCTCCTAAAATTGTTAGTTTGTCCATAAAAAAAATAAAATAGTACTCAGGCCTATTTGACACAAATTCGCAGTATTGTTATTATTTATGTAAAAATATCAAGTAGGTTGATGTCATAATGACAAATTTTTAAATATTAAGAACAGTTTCTCCCAAAATTGTTAATTTAATCAAAAAAAAAAAATAATAATAATACATAGACACTAACAATAGATGTCATAATGACAAATTTTGAAATATTAAGAACAGTTTCTCCCAAAATTGTTAATTTGTCCATACAAAAATAAAATAGTACTCAGACCTGTTTGACACAAATTCACAGTATTGTTATTATTTATGTAAAAATATCAAGTAGGTTGATGTCATAATGACAAATTTTTAAATATTAAGAACAATTTCTCCCAAAATTGTTAATTTAATCGAAAAAAAATAAGTAATAATAACACACAGACACTAACAATAGATGTCATAATGACAAATTTTTAAATATTAAGAACAATTTCTCCCAAAATTGTTAATTTAATCGAAAAAAAATAAGTAATAATAATACACAGACACTAACAATAGATGTCATAATGACAAATTTTGAAATATTAAGAACAGTTTCTCCCAAAATTGTTAATTTAATCAAAAAAATAAATAATAATACATAGACACTAACAATAGATGTCATAATGACAAATTTTGAAATATTAAGAACAGTTTCTCCCAAAATTGTTAATTTAATCAAAAAAATAATAATAATGCACAGACAATAACAATTAACAAAACTACAAAATCAAATAATAACAACTTTAACAAAATATTAATAATCATAAGAAATGTTGAAAATGTCGCCCCTCAGCAGCGACGCACGATTCTACCCTTCGCCTCATTGAATTTCGTATTCTTTCAAATATTCCTGGTGTATTCCTAATAGTTTCACATAATGCGATGATACGATTCCGTAAATCAATGGTTATGTTCAACAGGTCTCAACAGTTAAGCTTTATTATTATTGTATAAGCTTTAATATAGCGGAACGAAATCGGCTGAACAAGCAATTGAGAATTAGCGGTTCTGCATAACCTAAAGCTATGGCCAACAATTTTGTGCTTTTACAAGAGATAGTAGATGATGCGTTTCTGCATTAACAATAGTCATTTTTATACAGTTTTGTCAGTTTTCAAAATTAAAAGGGAGAAACAAAAAATGTTAATCCTAACTCACAAGCGCAGATTACTTATGCTGAAATATTTACTAAACTGCTGCGTAACAGCTAACAGCGCTTATTGCTCATAGTGCCCATTGACAGTTTCAACCGGAGTTGAATAAACCAGGGTTTTAAGAAAACCCCAAAGAAATTTAATGGATTTAATTCCGGAAATTTGGCTGGCCAATTCTGAAGATCTGCGCGGCCTATCTTGTATAAACTTCGTCTAAGTAGCTACGAGCGTTAATACTAAAATGCGCTGGCGCTGCATCATGCAAGTACCATAATTCTCACCTGATTTCTATCGAAACGTCATCAAGAAGCAGGGGCAACTCCTCTTCGAGGAAATTACAGTATGCGTCTCCATTTAATCTCATTGGAAGAAAATATGGTCCAATTAAATAATTGTTAATGACACCAAGACACACATTTAATGAAAATTGGATTCAACAATTTTATGTGGATTTTCTTCAGCCCATATGTGATTACTATGAAAATTTCTGATGGATTCTTTTGAAAAATTCGGTAAGAACACTTGAACGCTTTGCAGATGATAAGGATACAAAAGTTGTTCTTTTAAAATCCTAAACACGCTAGAATGGCTTACGTTTAATTGTTGAGCAATTTTTTTTGTACTGGTTCCGGGAGAGTTCTCAATTCAATTAAAAACTTCTTCCTCTAGTGCTACATTACGTACTTCTCGTGAACAATTCTTCTTGAACAATGTCAACATAGGTCCAATTTTCAATCGTTTTTGATATATGGGATAACTTAATTTACTGTCTTACTTCTACAGTAATTAGCAGAAAGTGTTAAGTTTTAATGATTTTAATGACCAAACAATGCCATAAACAAACAAAAGCATAGCGATCATTAATTGATTAAAGCTGCTGAAGATGGCGACCCTAGACTGCCATGCATAACTCTGCTCTTTGACTAAGTTCTCCTATCCAGTTGACATTTTCCATGTTTCGACGAACTTCCTGAAATGCTTGATGGATTATACCTACCAGTTCTTCTTTGGTAGCCGGCTCCATAACATAGCCCTAAAAGAAAAAGTCAAGAGTGGTCAGGTCCGGCGAGCGCGGGGGCCATGTGACAGCTCCATTCTGCCCTCTCCAGCCGTTTGGAAACGCAGTGTTCAAAAAGTCGGTTACGACCCTTCCATAGTGTGCAGGACACCCATTATGGACAAACCATATCCTACTACGCACGTTCAAGGGAATATCTGCAAGAAGTATGGATTCTTCTAGACCTGTAAATTTGATTGGTCAATGTTCCATCAAAGGTTTTCGGTCCCAGGACAACATTTCCGATGATTCCTCCCCACACATTAACCGAAAATCGGTGCTGGAATCTACTTTCCAGAAATCTGGAATCTCCAGATGTGCCCGTTATGTGAATTGTTAATATATGTGATTAATTTATTTAGCATTCGTGGCTAATGCACACACTATACATCCTTTATTGCAAATTTTGCGTGATTTTCGTTTTGACCCACCATCTTTCTGCTGCACACCACGTAAACTCTTTCCAGTCTTTCTGGAAGTTTTTGTACGTCTTTGCAGGGAACATTTGTGGATGTTTCTGCCAATGGTCTGTCGGATGCTATCTTCTTTACTGCCATCCATTTTCTGGTTATCGACTGAATAATATCGGTTATATATTCGAGTCATGTTTTGGTTCTGGCCAATTCATCACCATTCGGGAGAAAATGGCAAAAACTACTTTTTTTTTACTCTTGATATAAATATAAAGCCAGCTGAACTGAATGCAACGGTGTGAATTTATGTGCATTAAAATTATTAATTCAAATAGTTAAACGTGTAAATTAAAAATTTTTCACTCGTTTCCCCGAATTAGTCCGTTACATCGAAGTTTTACTCTAATTTATAAAAGTTATACGCAATTTTTTTTTAGAGTACACCTACGTACATTCCATTAAAAACTCCTGATGGCTCAGAGCTTGTATCTAGCTCAGACAGTGATGCTACATCCGTAAGATCGGTTAGATTTAGTAAATTAGCTGAGGTGAGGCAAATGTCTGATGAAGTTGCTACAGAAGCTTTACTTGCGAGGTTATCTTATCAAGCAAGTGTGCGAGCTAGTGATCTTGCTAGGAGAGCAGCTTCAAGGTTACCTCTTGAAAAAATAGCAAAATTAGCTTTTGGATTTTGTCTTCTAGTAAATATAACAAAAAATATTTGTTGATTTTAAGTAATGCGTATTTTTTTATAGTGGTTTTGTGCTAATTATACTTATCAATTAGCGTTAGCTGACACAGAAGCAGGTGTCGTAAATGTTCTGTCTTCCACTTCTAGTCTTTTTACATTAGCTTTAGCGGCAATGTTTCCATCAACATCCAATGATAAGTTTACCCTCTCAAAATTAGTATGTGTATGTTTAAGTATATCTGGAACGGTAAAAACTTTTCTCATCAATTTATTTATTTTTAATCAACAATTTTTTTTTGCTTAGGTTTTGGTAAGTTATACAGATATAATGATGCAACACAGGGTACCACATGGAGTTTCTTTATCGATACTAAGCGCGTTTTTTTATGCCGCGTACATTGTTTTTCTTCGAATGCATGTCGATCATGAAGATAAAATGGATATACCATTATTTTTTGGTAAATTCCAACAACCTTAAAAAAAATAAGTTAAAATAAATTTTTTTGTAGGATTTGTAGGGTTATTTAATATTTTTCTTTTATGGCCGATATTTTTCATATTACATTATTCCGAATACGAAACGTTCGAATGGCCAACAAAACACCAATTAATTTTCTTATTAATGAACGGTTTATTTGGCACCGTTGTTTCAGAAGTACTTTGGTTATGGTAAATTAAAATTGTTAATTTTATTAGAATTAATTTAAAATAACTTAAAATTTTAGGGGTTGTTTCTTAACATCTTCGTTAATAGCAACTATAGCGATAAGTTTAACCATACCCATGACGATGTTCGCTGATGTGATCGTCAAAAAAATTTCTTACCAGTATTTATTTTACGTGGGAACCGTCCCTATTGCTTTAGCATTCGTCTTCGTGTCGATTTTGTCGCACTATGAGAATTGGGATCCTGTTTATAATACGTTAAGGTTGGTGTATACTACAATTTGTCGGAGACGCAACAGGTAATAATTAACTAAGCATCGTTTTGATTAAAAAATTGTGTCTTTTTTTGAAGATATAGACTTCGATTTCCTGAGTTTTCAGCAGAACAAACGGAAGCGCTCATTGGAATTAATAGTAACGAGCATGAAGCATAAGCTATAATGAGATAAGTAGACTGGAGTATTTAAAAATGAAATTAACATTCCTTATTGATTATTTTATTATTTTAAAACATTGACTGACAAAGTCCTGTAAGTACGGAATCTCAAAAAAAAGTGTTTAAAATTAAAAATCAAAGAAATATTAAATCTTGTACCTTTATGTTAATAGCAGAAATAAGTTTACCAAAAATAATTAAGTTTGATACCAGGAAGTTCTATAACAGAAATTTATTTTTGATCTCAATTTAGAAATGTAACTTTTTCAATTTTAATTTTATATGAATTATATTTAATGCGACAAATTATGTGATAAATATAATTACATATTTAAAAAAAAACACTTAAAATTGAAAAATATATTGTTATTTAATATCCTATTAATGCTTTTGTTCTATTATGTGCAATATTAATTAAGTGTTCCACATTTCCGCCAGAAATAAGAAAATGCTTATGATATACCCTAATCTATGTACTCAACTAAAAATTTGTTTGCCAGAAATTTTAAGAAAAAAGTATTAATACAAACAGTGTCTTACTCTTTTTGATACAATAACCTTCTTTATAAAAATATCTATTAATTTGAAACAACTTTCTTATATATACTTTTTATTCAACATTCTTTAATCTATAATTTGGATAAATGAATTGAAGTAAATATATTATTAAATAGGACTAATATAAAAATGTAAAACAGTATTGACCTTTAACCAATACCTTGTTAATATACATAGTAAAAATCTTGGTGAAAACTCAATCATTAAATTTTCCATTGATTCTAAACAAAAAAAAATGCACTGCCTTCATCTTGAGGTTGTTGCCAAGATTCTTTCTTTGTTCGTCGACAAGCGTATGAATATTTAGCTCATTATTTCAAATTTACAAGTTAGCAGTGTTTCTTTAATTTTTTTTTGTATTTGTTAATTTTGTGTAACTTGTAAATTTGGAATTTTAACAAGTGTACATTCCACGTGTTTAGGAAAATAGTTTATATTTTTAATATATTGTAGCGAAACACTGGCTCTCCTAAATGTATTTTCTTAATTATGTATTGTAGATAAATTCAACAAAAAAATGATAATAAAGTGATATAATACTATAGCTGAAATATATTTTTTTTAATTAGCAAGATTTCTGAATAAAAATTAACAATTATTAAATACTCTGATTATAAATCCTAAAACATATTTCAGTTACTACAAATTAAGTTCCTAAACTTATTTGGCCTTTCCAGAAAAAATATTACTCAGCGCCCAAAAATTCTGTATTAATTGTGACGCATTATATTTGCTTGCTTACATTGTTTTTTGTACAGTCAAAGTAGGCGCGGAAATAACGCCGTTGACAGCTTTAAATGTCAAAAAATTGACAGTTCAAACAAATATGCCGCAATTAAGAATCTAAATATTAATGATGTGTACAGGTACTGTGAAAGAAAACACAGTCAAGGTGAAGTTTGTACACTGTTCCATAATATTTACCCGGATATACAAACTACACAACAAAAACTGTCATTTTTTTGACATTTAAAGTTGTCAACGGCGTTATTTCGGCACCTACTTTGATTGTAATTTGCTGATTTAGTATTTTCAGAAAACGCGTTTCTTCTCGATTCTTTTCATATACAACCATATGATTTGATATGTTCATCGCTTAGAGGGATTTATCCTCTATGAAAGTGTGCAAAGAAAATATACGCATCCCATTTAAAATAACAACGTTGGTTGCCATAGCAACGAAGCAAAAAACAATACAAACAAGCAAATATCGCCAAAAAATGCGCCACAATTAACAAAGACACTTGTATTTGAAACATTTGCATAATCCTTACACTACATGAATAAAAAATGTTTACTGTTTATAATTAAAATTAAAAGACACAACACAATGCACGAACAATAAGAGTTAAAATCTTTATACTGTATAATAGTGATTTTGACAATTCGGCTGAGGATGAGCTTATTGGCTCGAAACTTGTCCCGTATAAATTTTCAAAAAAAAATTTGTTAGCAAGTAAGAAGTTTTTTATTTTCTTTCTTATATAGAAAGGTAATGCCTACAAAAAAAGTTAAAACATTCGAATTGATCTTAATGAGAAGGATGAACCTTTTCTTTAAAAAACTCATCCAAAACATGAAATATTGATTCTCCTTTAATATCTGCAAATATTTAGCAAATAATTCTTGTTCTTCCTTTGTGAACCGCACGTATGCTAAAAGTTAAGCATCATTTCCTAACAAAGTTGACTCATCAAGTTGAATAGAAAACCGAGATGTTTTTAAATACCCACACAATGAATCTTCAACATCTTGAGCTATTTCATCAATTCTTCTTTGCACTGTATTATCGCTCAATTAACTCAATTATTGCTCGCTTGAAATTTTCTTGATAATATCAGATGCTGGCTTGTGTAGCACAGTACGTATTACTTCACTTATAGCTGTTCCAAAATTTGCTGGTTGTAGCCAGTACTGCCACTGCAATTCTAGGCTTTGGCCTTGCGATCGACCCATAGCACGAGTGGCAGTTGCCCGCAGCATGGCTTGTAGTGCTTACTTGTCCTGGAACGACAGTTCTATTCAGTGGCACCATTTCCAGCCAGAGCCAACGTCCAGTACGTTGTCCAAAAAAAATTAAGCGTTATGAGCAGAATACATACATTTTTCTAAATCTTCTCTTCTTTCTTTTATGCTTTCACCGCCTTAAATGAGGTTAAGACAGCAATTCTATTCTCATAGTTTTATTAGATTTTCAATTTTATCCTTTACTGACAATGAGATCAAGTATTATTTACCTACGTCATTGCGGTGCGGATTTTCAATGACCTTTTAACACCACCCATGCAAATCTGTCATACTTGATCTAATATTGTATCAATGACAGAGGATAAGGAGATGTTGTGTATCTAGACTTTAAGAAGGCGTTTGATAGTCTTCATCCTATCATACCATTAAAAATACTAAGTAATTTCGGATTGAATATCCATTTGTTGTTGTTAATAAAGTTTTTCCTATGCTTGCTGCGATGATGAGATGATCGATTGCCCATCTATAATACATAAAGGTGGCTATACACGTAACTGCAAACTTGACAAGCATGCATAATCAATCTTTTTGTATAAGCATGTAAAATTTCGAAACGATGCACTCGCACTGGCTGCTTTTTGCCTTGTCCATAAGAGGAAAATGCGGAAGATGAAACGTGATATATGGTGTAAAGAGTGGTTATTGAAAAGAAAAACCTACTCCTATATTAATTTACTGAGTGAATTGAAGGTATATCCACGTGACTGGCATAATTATTAAAAATCCCTACGTCTGGCCACACGTGCAAACTTGCATGATTAAAATTCATTCCATCATCAAGCGAATTGCACAAGCAAAATGTTCTTGCAAAATTATCCTACAAACGCTAAAGCATACTTGTACAAAAAGATTAATCATGTATACTTGTCAAGTTTGCAATTACGTGTGTAGCCACCTTAAGGCTATGAGACGAAACAACGAGCTATTTAAGACTTTTGGAAGAAATTCAATGTTTTAGATGACTTTAAATGATGCGCGGACAAAATTGTATCCACTGAAATCTAGGAGAAATCATCCATAACAACATTTTATTCTTATTTAAGTTAAATTTGTATTATCAAATATCTATCCAAGAATTAGAAAACAATCAGAAAATGTATGTCACAATTTATTTATAAAGCCCTGTTTAACTTCAGTAATATTTTGAAATTAAGAAACTTCTACAACATTGAGGCGCTAAAAAACTATGTGAAGAGTCCACAGCGTACAGTTTAAGAATCAGCTTATTTAAAGAGCGTATCCTAAAAAGTTAGGTTATATCCGGTTGACAAATCTGTCACATAACATCTGATTACGATTAAGGGCAAGTTGTCGTCCGATAAGTTATCTTTAGAAGCAAAATTGAGTTCTGTGTTTGAAGGTAAGATGAAGGATTTAAATAATCAGATCTGATAGTAATCAACTTGTTTAATATTACTGTCTTTATTATAAAAAATATGGCGGAGTAAAAAAATTATTGCGGAATTTATCTTTTTCTACTTTATTTAATCTTAATTTTTTACGAATTAACAATAAACAATTCTATTAACGTAGTATTATCGAAAAATCAAATAATTTTTTGTTACTAAAAACATGGTGGATTAAGAATTTTTTGTTACTTTCCATGTGATATCTCAAAATTGACGTGTAATTTGATTTAGAAAACGTGAAATCGTACAGATCAATTACATACTAAATTGATAGTAATAATCTATGTTTAGAGTTGCATTTAATAATTATTATTACTATTTTACAGAAGAAATCATATCAAGTTTTACAACAACAAAAAAAATCATAAAAAGTGGATTTTTACAACTTTTAACATGAAAAGAATTGAAAACCCTGTAAGTGACTAAAAATAATGTTTTATATAACTGTAAATCAATAATTTTTTGATATTATTTAGCCCACTCCTTACTTGGGGCATATTGTTGGTAATTTTATTGAAGGAAAAACTATCACAATTGAAGGTGTTGTTCAACCTCCAGCTCAAAGGTATAAAAATTATTATTTGGAACTATACTAATAAAAAAATACTTATAATCATGTTATATAGCATTACAATTAATTTCCAAACTGGAAAATATGCTCCTGACCGTGATGATATTGCACTACAACTCTGGGCAAAACTTCTTGAAGGTAGTATAACAAGAAATTCATCAATAGAAGGAATTTGGGGTAAAGCAGAAACTGCAGGTCATTATCCTTTGACTGTTGGAAAAAGATTTACTATTTCAGTAACAAATAAAAGACCAGTGTATATTGTATGTTTTAGTAATTTTTATTTCCAAACTGATCTTTCAAAAATGATACAATTTTAGATCAAAATCAATAATAACGAATTTCAATTCAAACAGAGATTACCTGGTTCAAGAGTGAACCACATTTCAATTCAAGGAAATGTTAAACTTTATACCATTTGTTATGAAACCAACATGTCTTATGGTGAATATGTGCCACTTTATGATGATCCACCACCACCGTATGCAGAATTTGCGCCAAAACCAAGAAATCAACCAAATCAGGTAATAACTTTGTTTTTACAAACACCTGGGTAAATTAAAAAAATTAAAAATTAGTCAAGCGGCGATGACCAGTGTATGTTCCAAACTGCTCTTCCTCTTGCTCTTGGTACTGGAATTGGCGTGCTAGGCGCATCCCTATTTGGAAACGTATGTGAAATAAATAAATCATTTTAAATTGTTGAATCATTGAAAAAATGTTTTTAGCGTTCAAAATGTCAAAGTAAAGCTTGCGGAATTTCCTGTCATTGTGAAAAATGTCAATGCAGGAAATGCAAACCACCTACTCCAACAATGCAACAAACAACATCCACCTCCTGGGGTAATGTCTTGGGTGTTGGGGCAGCTGCTGTTGGTGGTCTTTTGGCAATTGGTGGGATTGCATATGCTTTATCAGGATCATCAAATAATAACGATGATGATGACGACGATTAGTTTTATTTTAAATTGTGGTATTGTTTAATTATAAGTAAATATAAAAAAAAAATTGATAAAAACAATAATTAAAATAAAAATAGTAATGATAAAATAATTGTGATTGTAACGTTTTAATTTAGTATTTTATTATAAAAGTTAATGCATAAATTTAAATAATTTGATACGAATATTTTCTGAATAACTTACTTTATTATTGTAATGAGATTATTATTCAATAAAGTCATGATATTAATAGCAAACACATTTTCCTGATTGACAGCTACCTTTTCCAAAAGCTTTTTTTGTTCCACAGTAATGATCACATACGATGTGATTTACTAGAAAACCCGCAAAAAGAAAATGAAGTGGATCGCAATACGTAATCGGTTCGTATTTATAATCCCCCTTTGGCGTGGTGTATAATGCTCGAGGGACCAGCTCTGGTATTTCCTCATCTTCTTCTTCTTGTCTTTTATAACGCGAAAATCCGGCGTCGCTTCCTAAAGTAACCAGTTTTAAATTAGATGAATTAGAAACGAAAAAGTTAGCATTTACCATTTTTAGAATCATTCTCAAAAGTTAAACAGTTTAAAACACAAAACAACAAGAATTGAATCAAAACAAATTTGATTTTAAAATTGGACATGTTTTACTCCGTTTCTTTAATTAAAACTGAATCGAAAACTAATTCTGCTAAATTTATAGGTTCCGTTATCTTTCTAAATTCTCCAACACAAATTTTGAAAACTTTTAACGTGATTCATCTTGAATTCTATCGTTTCAAGCAACTAATTGTTGGGGAATTATCAACATTTCATGTTCAAGGTTACTTTAAAGAAAATTTTTTTCTTATCTAAATTAATTGGACTCAATTTTGCAGAAGTTTTCTAATACCATATACAGTATGTCCCCGGAAAGTGTCTCCGTAAGGTATAAATGATAATAAATTTTTGAATTCAAATTCCATCTTTTGCAATTAAAGTCTGGATGTCATAAAACGAAATATAACCAAGTTTTACGTCAAATGTCTTCAAAGTACCCAAGGTTCGTTGAGCAAATACACTGTATAAGGTTATCCAACTCCATATCGCCCCGCAAAGGCCTTGCTGTGACGTCATTGGAAGAATTGACATTTCTATGAATTTATTTATACAGCGTATTTCACTTAAGAAGCAATATACAAAAATATTAAAAAAAAAAAAAAATAAAATTAAAAAAATATTAAAATATAAAGCGAAATTATAACCGTTAATAGGTTATAATTTTATTATTGTTAGGTTATCCAACTTGACTCGGTTACCATGGTGATTAAGATCCAAATATTGCAGGTGCTTGTCAAAATTGAAATTGAATTTAAGTTCTTTTAAGGAAAAAGTCTTATTTAATTGTTTTAAAAGGCTGTATTTAACTCAAAATTGGTTTATCTAGGGTATTATAAACAAGGTAAGTGGATTAAATCAAAAAAAGATATTTTTAATTTATTTCT